TTACATTAGACATTGCCAATGCCTGTGCTCATGAAAATCCCTAAGGACAGTATAAAAGAAAAAGCCTCCAGCAGAGAACTATCAGTCCTATGCAACTTTGATTGTATCATGTATAAAAAAGGTAAATATCAAGTCAACATAAAGCACTTGAAGTGGACAAATAAAAGGTCATTTTCTTCAGCTATTATAGCATTCTTTTGTTTTCTTTCTGCATGCTCCTCTAGTGTTTCAGGTTTGTAATATATTGACCTCATAAATATAAGTACTATTCCTGGAAACAAGCAGGACAGTATTCCACTGGGAAATGAGCAATCTAATCAAAGTTGTTTTTTACTTTAATTGTTTGTGATAAATCCCATACAATGCTGCAGTAAATGTTAGAAAAGCACATCACACATTTCTAGCATAAATCAAGGCATGAGCCTGACTTCCAACAGGACATAAATCTTGTGTGAAGATAAATATTACTCAGAAGTCATCCTGCCCTATAGAAACAGCTTGATGTGGGTTTCGTGTAAAATTTGACTAGCCACAGCAGAAAGAAAGCACTCTGTACTCTACAAGAGAGTCATACACAATATGAACAAGAGACCTCATTTCTCCCAGTTGGATATGAGCAAATACAACTTTGTTGACCAGTCCATACATAACCTTCGTTAAATAAGACAACTTCTATGGTTCTCTGGTTACAATGATTATTGCCTAAGTATAGAGGTCCCAAGAACATCATTAGAAGGAAAATAATCACTATAAGAGATCCCAGAAATAGTATTTTTCAACCCAGTTACTTACCCTTCTTCTCAACCTTGATGCTTTGGAGAGTTTCAGGAAAGTAAGATGTGGTTTGAAGTCCTTATTCCCCAAAATGTAGAGATTCATTTCAGTAAAGCATTCTTGCACGACTTCTAGTAAAAAGATAAGAAACAAATGAATAACATTTAGGAGGTAGGGAAAAAATATTTACAGAGAGGTTAGACAAAAAGCCACTATGCCCTTCTTGAGCAAGACACAGTTAAAACGTACAGCAGGTAACCAGTTATACTATCACAGGCAACAGACAAAGAAAAAATACACAAAACCAAAGCTGTGCATGACATACAGACATATGTTGCAAACCTGATACTAGATCCAAACTTCTATGTTTGCAACACAACTCCTTCCAAATTCATAGGTCTTCTATCACAATGCTGAATTCAGGAAAGCGTATGCACATGACAGCCCTACCAGCAACAAGATGCAACTACCAGTGGACACAGCTGGGGCCTGTGATAGAACAGACTCTACCCAATTATTGCAAAGAGCAATGTGAGAAGCAGAGTGCTTCCAGCAAAAGAGTGGCTAGATTCCCAAAACTACTGCAACTCCACAGCACTTACAGCAATTCAGAAGGGAACATCACACAAACATAATATATCCCCAGATAATGTGATACAAAATGTTTATGATGGTATTGGCTTTAAAACTTCAGTCACGTAATTATAAAACAGTAAGGTTTTATTATGCATGAATAAAACAGAAGTGTCTGAGTAACTCCAGGATTTATATTCTTCAAGGCCTTTCAGCTACGGATTGTAATAAGTCAAGCCAAGTTGAACTAGCCCTGGTTTTCACAAACTTGGAATTGGGGGATGCAGAATCAAGAATAGCAAGGCAAAGCTTACATGAGGGAGACCTCTGCAAGTCTGGCATATCTAGAAGGTGATGTCTTGTTCAACAGTTGTGCTTAAGCAGTAAGAAATAATTCCAAAGTTACGCTGAAAGCCTTGTCTGAGGCTGGAGTACCCTCCAGCAATTTTTCTTGTTGCCAGAGGTCTTTATTCCTTGGTTGTATATAAAGGGGATAAAACAGTGGAGGAAGAAAAAAAAAAATCAACATTTTAAAACGGAAACCTGGGACATTTGTCGCTCTTCTTGCCAGACTCCCCACCTTAACACCTATCTTTTTTACTCTTAGTTTCTTAGGCACTGAGAGAAACAGGTTCATTGTTGAAATTGCGTAAAAAATAGCATATTGCGTATGTGACGAGTGCCTTGTTTGAAATCACCCTACTCACATTTGATTTTTCCACCTATCAGGAAGTTTAGCTACTTGTATGTTTACGGGTTTGTCATATGCATTTATATCAAGGCCAAGTCTCTGGCTTAGGGTCTAGCTAATTAATACTTTAAAATGTTTCTTCTCAGAGTATTCTTAAAGGAACAGCAGCTGGGACTGTATGGTCACTTTGCCAAGGCAACTGCTTTATATATTTTCCATCTGGAAAACACAAAAACCAGGATCCAGTTGTCTGAACAAGCATCTAATACCCTTTTAGATGCCCTACAGGATGCCTACCTGACCTCCAGCTGCTGCTGTAGAAGGGTACGGTCTGGCTGTAGGTCCAGTGTGAATGCTGCAGATAATTTAAGGCATCTAAAAGTGATCCTATATGATCATGGTTAGGTATCAAACAACCCCTAAAGTGCCTCTGGTACTTTGTCAAATAGAGCACATTAACTTGAATAATTTCTGCATATTATTAAGTCTTGTTCCCATGCCAGTAGGTCAAAGCACAGCAAATCCCAGGGAATAAAACACAGCAGCAAAGTGTCTAGGTTCCTTCTAGAAAAAAAAAAAAAAGCCCTTCCCCACACATCACCCGGGCAAATAACATTTTCTAGTTGCATAAAAAGAAGCAAGCTAGAGCTTAACCTAACAAAGAAAACCTGAAAGTAGCATTTCCTCTTGCTTACCACCCAGCGTCAATCCCACCAAACACCAGGAAAAACTTATTACTGAAAGGTGAAGGTCTTACTGCCATGAGCAGATTTTCCTCAGAAAGGCCGATGATGGAAGAAAGGTCAAGGCTAGCAATAATCTTCAAGAAGTCAGTTTAGGAACAAGATTCATAGATAGTGTCCTGCCCATGCCAGGATGGCACTCAGTTTTCTAGACGCTGTCTTCTCTGGCTCATTTGATAAATATCATAAGAAAATTCCAAGACATCTTAAGCAGTATCTCTTCAAAGCAGATGAGGTCACTAGCAGCAAGAAAAACACACTAGTGCTCAGTATTTACCAACTAATTGTAGTTAACTGATCAAGAGAGAGGTTAACTCTCCACTTTGAAACTGAAGTTCATGGTGTAGGCACAAAAACAAATGAAGTGGTAGTCACCTATTTTTATATTTTATGATGTCAGGAACACTTCAGAGGTTCAAAGCTTTGTTAGAGCAGGCAGAACTCTTAATCTTGTTGACAAATCATCAATAAGGGCATGAAGGCAGAGATAGCTGGCAGGTGTAGCTTGATCTTTGCCAGTCAAGTCATTGGCCCACCGTGCTGCTTGAAAAGGCAGCATTTGAAATCCACACCTACCTCACGAGCAACCAAAAATATTGACTAAAAGGTAGAAATAAATCCCTATTCATTGTATAATAATTAATTCAATTGCTATGCTGAGGGAAAGGAGAGGAGACAAATAAACCCCAAACCAAAAAAGCTGGTTCTTTGGAGATATTGTAAGGATAGACTTTGATACATATTTGCATAATCCCCAGATTCGTTAAGTTTTAGAAATGGTCAGAAGTTATGCAGAATAGAAAAACACTGGAAGTTGTATCTCTCTGAATAGCAAAATCATTGGTAACAGAGTTAACAGCTTGAAAATTGGCAGCTTGTCTCCCAGTCAAGGAATTATTTCAGGCAGTGAACAATCATATTGCATTGAAAACACAAATACTGACAGAATATTCCTGGGGTTTTCAATAAAATTTTTTCTCCACTATCTGATTAGCAAAGGGGCTCAGATCAGAAGCTAGGCATCAGGTTTCCAGAACCCTGAGGATGCGTGTTATCCAGGCATAGAATGTGGAGGATATGCCACCAACTATTGTAATGGTTTTTAATGTATATGCAGCTCCAATGTGATATTTCAAAAGAGCATTATAGCACACATTCTGCAGAACCAAAATTAAACATTTCTGCTGGTGATAAAATAGCATGATAGAGATTGACCTTGTATGCTATGATTCACTGGAAACAAAATTTTCAGTTAAGCAAAACAATGAATAGAGGAAAAATCAGCAGTATTCAGGCAAGAGAAATGAGATGTTCACTTCTGCATCTTTCAGGAGTAAAGAGAAAGCCAAGGTAGGGCTCTCAAAACAGGCAGATCAGGCCCTTCTTTCAATGGCACCAAATTGTGTATGTTATGGACAGGCATATAACAAACATGATCTTATAGGAAATTGCATGATCCGCCTTCTACTTTGTTATCTTCCAGTCCAGATTACTTCCTGTTAAAGACTTTAGAAGAAGCAACTTTTGTGCATAGGTAAGTTTGTTGAGGTTGTAGCTCTAATAAGTAGGGACAACATCAGAGTACTTTCAACAAAAGCACAGCTGTTTTGAGTCAAAATTATCTTTGGAATGGATGGAACAATAAAAGAAGTGAAGGCCAGAGTCAGACAAGAGGTAATGAATAGTGAAGTGGCTAATTTTATTTAGCTGAGGGAAAGAAGCTGTTCATAAGAGGCATCCTCTGTCTAGTTGCAACACTGACTACTTAAAAGGCAAAATAAATAGGAGGATAAGAGAGCAGAATTATTATATCAAAGCTGAGAACTGGAGGAGGTAGGAAGCAGCATCAACAGAAAGAAAACAGACTGTTCTGAGAAGTCATTTGAAGACTACATAACATCTTTTTGTTGCATGCCTTTTTGAGAAGCATTAGTTGAACTGTGCTTCCTTTTTGCTTAGTATGAAAACAGCAAGAAAAAATAATGTATATTGATTATTTCTGTTCTGTTGCAGTGGAAGCCCAGGACACACATTAGGTTCTGGATTGCAGGCTAAAGCAGCTCCTAAAAGCAGAACAAAGTGGAGAGGAAGAGAGTACCAAGCCCTTCTGAAACTGTACTCAGATGTAGGTAAGCAGGTCAAAGACCTGGAACATCTCCGCAAATCCATCAGTGCTTTGAGAAGTCAGACAGAGGACAAGCTACTCTTACACTTCTGTTTCACATTCTACAGTGGAAGCAGAAGGCATTTGCTGGTGCTACACATGCATACGCAGACAAGTACTGCTTTTTGTCATCTTCAGTCTCAGAGGTACTCATGATTTCACACATATTCCAGTTTAAATGAAGTCCTTTTATTCTCAGAGGTGGCCAACACTTAATAGGCTTTCAGTTTATTAGAATGAACAGAGCCCCAGCTTTGAGGTGTCACTGTGAAGACTACGTACACCACAGGCCTGTGAGATCCTTACTGAGGGCAGACTAGGACAACCTTGCTGTGTGATCTTGACATATTGAGTGTCTGTGCGTCTCATCTGTCCCAAATACATACAGAAAACCTATTTTAGCCCTAATGCAGGGCTAACTCGGTTGGTGGCTTCATATTTAACAATTAAGAAAAAGAAGAGACAAGAGGAAAGGTAGAACATGACAATCGTGAACAGCTTGGGCCAGTGCTTACAAGAACTAACAGACTCTATAAACTGGTTACCAGAAGTGGTAGAGTCAGATTTGGTACTTACCTGCAATTCTATTCAGCATTTTCTGATCTTCCTCCAACATTTTCACATAGAGCACTTGGTTATTAAACTGTCCAATCCCATGAAATGTCATATTAAAGTCTTTACCCTGCAAGATGTCTTCCACTTTAGTCTTGCTCTGCTTCAGTGCCAGAACAGCCCTTAAAAATAATATATAAATGCTCAAAGTTAATAGCTTTTTTGCATATGAAAATACTGTTATATTTTTAATACCAGCCAATATACCCGGTTTTGACCACTCTGCAGCACTATGCATAGTGTAACAGGCACACTATAATTCATTGCTAATGCTTTTGTAACAGTTGGACTTTAAATACATCGTGTCTTTCACTTCAACCTTAGCTTATATATTAGAAGTGAGTTTTGCTAGTGAACACTCAAAACATTAACATGCCAGAAAAGCTACGTGAATATATGCTGCTGAAGAGTTAAAAGGGGTAAACTGAACTTAAATTTGTGTCATGTAGTTTTAATTATCACCATTTTCTACTGGTTCACTAGTTTTATTCTTAAACTAAAACAAATTCATTCTCCTACCTATCATTTGTCTCCATTCTATTCTCCTATTCCAGGCCAGCTAACAAAATATCAAATTGATGTTTCTGTTGTAAGCTCTACGTCACATTTCAATAAAGTTCAGGTATGCGCCTTGTTGTGCACAGAAATTCCATAAAAGTGAATTACCCAAAGACATTAAAGCTTCAAATTAAACCATTTTTCTTAAAGACACAGAAAAAGCATGACTTTAAAATTTCTTTTAAATTTAAATATAGGCACCAAGTCTTTCAGTAATTTAGAACCTGCTGAAATTTTACAGGTACCTTTCTTTACCCTGGTCTCTCAGGAAGGAGGATCCTATCAATCTTCAAACAGACTTTGAGCAGAAACATTCTACTAAGGCTTCGTAATTCCAACAAATACTGCGCGTTTAATGCATACAAAGGTCGCTTAAGCCAACAACAGCCAACATTATGAACAGTCCTCACTACTACATTGGAGTTATAACAGTTACAATCACATAAGAGCTGCTTCTTTCTAAGACTCTTGGGGACTCAGCAGATGAAGATTTAGTAAGGACAGGACTCAAGGTGGAAAGGGAATTAATTCTTTGTAAAGGATTTGTTTTTTCTGCCTTAATAACAAGCAGTGCTATTCTAGCCCTTCATCTAAGTCCATAATGTCTAAGCAACCACTAAATATTGCTAGGACAATTTCTCCCATCAAATGGGATCATTTAGTTCAAACTACCCTGCCTTGGGTAGGGACACCAGCTAGATCAGGTTGCTGAAAACCCCATCCAGCCTGGTTTTGAATAGTTCCAGGGATGGGGCATCCACAACTTCTCTGTTCAGGACCAGCACAGCAAAGAATTTCTTCCTAGTATCTAATCTAAATCTGCCTTCTTTCAGTTTAAAGCCATCCCCCCTTTGTCCAGTCACTAGATGACCATGTAAGAAGTTCCCCTCCAGCTTCTGCCATGGGACTTGAAGATGCCTCTCTCCCCCTGTGGCGGGCTGGGCTGTCTGTATCAGCAGTGCTGTTAGCTAACAGCTTAAGGCATTCTTTCATGTGACAGCACAGAGCAGTAGCCACTGAATTACAGCATCATTCGGAAGAGCTACGTAGGTAGGTGAAAGATACAGAGTGAAAAGCATTTGGCAAGGCAGATCTGCTTTACATTAGGTATGCCCATTATTTTTACATTACAGACACACATTGACTCTTAAGTTCATTAACACTACTTAGCTCTACTCACCTCCCTAACCAATTGATTCCCATTTTTACTGCTGCTCTCAACTAGCTTCCTATCCTCCTGGATGACAGCCTGCCCAGTCAGCAGCACTGGCACAGGTTTTTATTACTGAATTACTGTACATCGTCTTCTGCATGAGGTTCCTTAGCACATATAACACTCCTATTTTTTTTCCCCTCAGACACTCAAAAAAAAGTCCCTGGAGTGTACAATAGAGGTAATTTTAAAATAAGGCACTTTCAAACTTGTCATGTGCATCTTAGTCATGTTTAACTGATGCTGCCTGTATGGGCAGAGGGGTCTTTTTTTCTAGTCATATTGGTTCTTTTGTCCCCTTTCCAGCTAGGTATTCTGCTTTAAACCCAAGCAGATCCTGTGTGACACTCATATGGTGTTGAGGCCTGTTCTTCATTCCTATGCTGATGTGTGCCAAGGCCCCTGGAGAAAGAGCTGCTCTCACCAGGTCCCCACCTCTACCATGCAATACCTTGCCTAGCACATAAGGGCCTTTCCTTTCTGCCTCCTCATTTCAAGAAGTCTCAGGTTTCCTAGTGGGGTACAGTAGCATAAGACTTAGAGAAAAAACTTGCAGCGTACTGGCTCTACTTTCTCGACCCTTCCAGCAGTTCTAGCCTTTCTGACCACAGGGTATCTTTCCTTAGCCATCTTTCAATATCCTCTAAATTCACAGGGCCACAGCAACAGCCCACAGCTTGAATTAGAAAAGAGAGAAACTTAGAAAGGAATTAGGCAGATTATTTTGTTGTTTTCCTCTTAATGTAACATGTCCCAACAGCTAACCTTTTCCAGCTAGTACAAATATGACTGATCTGAAAAGCACTGGTTTCTCAAGAAAACTTACATCTGTTGAGCTAATTTGTGGTAGTAACACAGTAAAAAAGTAGTAATATCATTTACAGAAACATTGGTTTTTCTCTTCACCCCATGGCAGATACACAAAATTTCAACCTCTGATGCATCATCACATCCAGCTTTTGTAAAGATTCTTCCTGAGAGGTATTAAAAGCAAGACAGAAACCAATCAAAAAAAAGTTTAGGAAAAATTGTGTGTAGGCTCTAAAAAAACAATTATTCACAATAGCAGCAGTAAAGCTACCACATTTACAAGAAAATTAGCTGCACTTAAATTTTGCAAGAGTCTTACTTTTTTATTTCTTCTTCTGTTCCCAAGTGAGCTACTATTATAGTAAGGTGCATAGTTTGAATAGGAAGAAGAGCTCGCGACAGGTCAGGTTCTTTAGAGAATATGTGCTCTTGGACATCTTCAATTCTGTCCAAAATCTACAATGCAGAAAGAGAAAACAGGGAACAAATTTTCATTTTGGAATGCCTATATATTACTTGAAAAATTCAGAATGCTGAAGCCTTACACACTCAAAAATGTAACTCAGTGTTTAAGCCAGGAACCCACGCAACCAACCCCCTCCACCCCCTAGATCCATCATATAGCAATTTTCAAACTTCATTTTTCAGGAATTGATTGATCTCTTTTCCTTCTTTTAAAGCCTACAGGCTAAACTCATAGGTCTCCTGTGAACTACAATCCCTAGATTTTAAAGTAGGTGTGAATCTGACCCTAAGCATATTAGATTAAAGCTTACAGCACTGTGTAAATATTAATGGGATCTTCATGCAGTTGTCAGTTGTTAATAGATTATGGAAATCGAATAGCATTTCCATAATTAGTCTTATGCCATTTTCTGATTACAAGTTTGATCACAGATTAAACTGAGATCTCTTCCCAAAAGAAAAACACAGCAGCAAACAAAGTAGATTGACTGGATAAACATGTTGTTTTCTGAGCTGGTGTTTCTTAGAGCTGTGTGGCCAGTTTCCGGCTCTTGTGGATCTGTGCCTTTAGACAACTGACTCCAAAGATTTTTTTTTTTCAATATGATCTCTTAGGTTTTCTAAGTCAGTCATGGAAATAGGCAGGAGAGAGAAGAATTCAATCACACAGGGACTAAGTACCTAGTGGAAGCCTTTGTTACAGACAAGTCATTTAGAGATTTTCAGATTATTTCACCGAGCAAATTCTGGCTTACATGCCTAAGTGCTCACACTTATTGGAGCTCCACTTTATTCTTACATAGATTGAAACAGCTCAGTCAATATGCTTTTGTTTTGCTATCTTTCTACATACAGCCTCAGCAGTCATTGTGCAGTCCAGTAAATAGTCCCACAGTCTGCACGTCAGAAGAGATTAGTATAACAAGTTTCTGATAAACATGAGGATAAAAGCCACAAACAATTAAAATAAAGATTTGAAGATACAAACTCCCTGAATTTACAAACTCTTACGGTACATTTGTCACTGTGAAAAATACATCACTGAAATGACTCTTACATTAAGCTAATTCCTACTGCAACCGAAGCACAATTTATTGCAGCCTGCTATTTACAGCACATGTTTAGATTGTGAAAAGATGGAGCAGGAATCAAGCCATCAAGTTGTCTGACCACACAAACTGCAACCTTTGCTTCAACAGACTGGGTTATGTGTTGACAGTAATTCCACAAAACAGCCTCCCATTCTCCCCCCTTGTCCAATCTTTCCAAGAATATCCTTGAAATAAGAAAGATCCTTCTACCTTCTCAGTTTGAGGCACAGACACCTGGGAAGCTGAGCTAGAGTGAAATTCCTTCAGGTAAACATTTAACTATTACAGAGCAATGTTAATGTCTTTTCTTACCTCTCTTTGTCATCTTCACGTGTCTTCAAAACTTCCTGTTCCCTCTCCCATGAGAATGATCTACCTTATCTCTCTACAGCTTTTTTTTTAATTGGTGTATCAGTCTGTAACACTTTTCTGTAAGTACTGTGTATTTGATGGGATAGCTAGTTTTTTTCTTTTTTTTTTTTTTTGGAGCAGTGTGGGGGGATTATAGGAGAAATAGGAAGGAAGAACTTTTAATGGAGTATTGAATGCCTGAGACCACAACATTCTTAGATCCAACCCAGTCCAAGTCTGGTGTGCAGCCTCCTGGAGTCCTGCTTAGACACAAAGAGAGAAGGGCTGTGCACCCACCAGGACTGGAACAGGGCTTTTCCTTTGTCCTCTTGAAAGAGAAAAATGTAGACAGCCCTAGGCCTTGTCATGTGGAGAGCTCTCTTAAAAGTATAATTAGGGCAAAATAATTATACCCAAAAAACTAACGGCATCTTTAAAACCCTTCTCTAATTTAGAAGGTCTACAATGTAACAGGGAATCACATTGTATGTTCAGTAAGGTAAGGAGCCTATGCTTTATAGGTAAAAGCATCTGAAATGGTCAAAACACTATTATATGTGCATATATGTATGTATACACACATATTTGGTCAGCAGGTTAAGAGAGGTGATTCTGCCCCTCTACTCTACTCTGATTAGACCCCACCTGGAAGTGTTGCATCCAGCTCTGGGGCCCCCAGTAATAATAATGGCCAGTCTTCGTGAACGAAGATTTTGGGAAAGGTCTTTTACCTTTCCAACCTGCGCAATGGATTTTTTAGGTGAGACACAGCATGCGCTGAACTGAGCCCACCCTTTAATCCTAAGGTTCATCTGCCGGGGCCAAGCAAGCTTGGACAATGGCAGTGAGGTCCTCAGGACGTAGGTTTGTTTAGAGTGACCTTCTCATAGATGGATGGCCTTACAGGGCTAACGAGCTCCATCTGCCCGGGGGACTGGGATTCAAACCTGGGTCGCAGCGGTGAGAGTCCCGCATGCTAACCACTAGGCCACCAGGGGTCCCCAGGGGCCCCCAGTACAGGAAGGACATCGACCAATTGGAGCGAGTCCAGAGAAGCACCATGATTAGAGGGTTAAAACACCCCTCCTATGAGGAAAGGCTGAGAGAATTGGCTTTGTTGATCCTGGAATAGGAAGGCTTAGGACTGACCTAATTGCAGGTTTCCGGGACCTGAAGGGAGCCCACGAGAAATTTGGAGGGGGACATTTTACAAGTGCATGTAGTGACAGGACAAGGGGAAAATGGTTTCAAACTGAAAGAGTAGGTTTTGGATATTAGGAAAAAAAAAATTCTTTACTGTGAGGGTGGTTAGACACTGGAACACTTTGTTCAGAGAAGTTGTGGATGCCCCATCCCTGGAAGTCAACCTGGTCTAGTGAAAGGTGCCTCTGCTCATGGTAGTGGAGTTGGAACTGGATGATCTTTAAGGTCCCTTCCAACCCAAACCATTCTATGATTTTAGTCACTCTCTGCATATATACATACCATGCTTACAGAACCACACCCCTCAGTTTCTTTCAGAGCCTCACACGGAGCTGTCTCAGGTCACTGCCACCATTAAAGGTATCACTTTAGAGGAGCGTGAACTGGCTGGAATATCTTGGGCAGAGCATCCAACTGGGGATGTCAGAGCTGCCAGATTACCAGGGCTGGTGTGAGAGCAGAGAAACTTGAAAGAGAAGAATCGAAAGACAGAAAAGGAAAAAGAGGGGAAGGACATTCATAGAGCTGTACAGGATGTGGTCATAAGCCATATATTAGGACACTCAAATCTCATTAAAATACCAGAATAAGTTAGGCATTCATGACCCTTCAAGCTGTTCCATGATCTCATTCCTCAGATGGCAGGAAACTTTCCAGTTTCCAGCTTAGATTTATTCTTCGCCCACTTTATACCCATTTGTTCGCCTGCCAACATTGTCTTCAGCTTACACAGTTATTTTCCCTTCCTGGCATTTATCTTCCTGATGTGCTCTGCACTTTTGTTCACCTCTCAAAAGCCAGTCATATGTAGGAATCACTGAAAGTTATATGAGGCCATCCTCCAGATAACCTCCAAAGATCATTCTGCTCAAGACAAAGCCATAGCAAATAATTGCCTACCAAGAGGAAGGCACCTTTTGACGTCTCCCTCTAACACATACATAAGTGTTTTTACACTTAACTAAGGCAAAAACAAAACCTCAGAAGCCTGCCAAAGCAAGCTACTGTACTGCAGCTGCTTGTCACACTGGAAAAAAAACAAAGGAAAAAAAATCTGTACAACAGATATAGCAATCCTACTTAATTATTGCCTTTCAGCAGCATAAATACAGTCATGCCAGTTACCACGTGGAAGCTTAAACTGGGAACACAAAAGGAATCAAGTTATATATTGCAACAAACAATATCCATTTGGTTCACTGGAAAAAGCACCATAAACTAACAGCAGGAGCTGGTAGTAGAGGGTTATATTTTCACTCTGTTCATACAAGTTAATATTCAGGTTTTACCTTTTATATTTGCTTTACAAGAAGATATCCCAAGATGCATATATATATATATATGTATTATAAATATTAATAATCCATACAATTTATATACTCTTTCTCAGTTCTACCCATGCTAGCTGGGACTCAGTAGTTACTGATTCAAATTAAGACTTTCCCCTGCCTGTCTCTGTCAGGTGGAATAGTATGCTCCTTGTCATTACACCCCAGAGCTTTTCTTTCTCTCCATAGTATATTTGAGTGCACAGTCACCTGCTGCCCCTACATAAAGGCATGGGGCATGTCCCACCCTACAGTGTTGCTGTTCTGCAAGAGGAGCAGGGCTCCAGCCAAGCCCCCTTGGGATGCAGCAGGTACTGGGACAAAGTGAGAACTCTTTCTGCTTTTGCATCCTCTGAGCAGCTGTGAACAAAACACTGCCATCAGCAGGTCACAGTTGTCTATGAAAGGCTAGAGGGTAAAAAAACCTGTTCATAAAGGTACTAAAAGTGCTGCTTTGAGAATGAGACACTGTATCCTTCTTTCAGAAAGTTTTGTGTGCGCTTCAAAGTTCATACCAGCAAAATGGGAAGAAGTAGTTCAATGTGAGCTACCATTTCCCCCACTAACAAGTACAGAGAGTTATGCAGAAGTTATGTATGATTTGTTTGAAGCCCCTACCTTGTAAAGAAAGCTTTGTTCATTGAAATCTGTCTCTACAGTTACTGTATCCTTTTTGGAATTAATTCTATGGATCTATTAAGATAGTGCCTGTAGTAGCCAAGCCGTGCAAGTCTGTATTGACATATTTCAGAAGGAGCCTTTACTGTGGTAACTGAAATGCTTTAGGTCCCCCACGAAGTCTCTAGAAGAAAATAGTTCTATTTGGATTTCCACTGTTTTCTGTACCTAGGTTTAACGCTATGGAGGTGAAATCATCTGTTGCTTTTTTCAACATTGTTTAAGCATGGAAATCACAGAATAGAGTACATCTGGATAAAGTACGAGCATAAAGACTCCACACATGAGTTCTTGAAATTAACTGTCTGCCTAAGATCTCAGGAAAGTTTGTTGGATAAAAGATGGAGAAAAGAGATCAATTCCATGTAATCTTCTGTAGAAGAGAAGAAAATCCTCATTCTCCCTTGTGAACTTCAGTGGAAAAGAAGATGAACAAATTAATACCATTTCACTAAATACAGCCATAAGACAATGTAGGGTGGGACAATGCAAGATGATAAAACCCACTGCTTTTGTTTGAAAAAATTACAGAATAAAAGATTATTTATAGGAGACAACACCTCTGACCCTTTAGAAAGGGCAGTAGTAATCCTGAAAGTATTTTTTTTTTCCTAGCAGTAGCTGAAACATTGGTGTGTTATAGACAAAACTATCTATTAAAAAAAGCACAACACTTAAAAGGGCTGCTGTGGGGAAGTTTACTCCATTCCACCCAGACTCAATACACCACTTAAGGTAAGGGAGCAGAATTTGGTCCCTCTTGGCTTGTAAACAAGCTTTGCAACCAATATAAATAAGAAATTAAATGTAAGTTTAAAGTTAAGGGTTTTCTTTTGTTTGTTTTGATAGAACAGCTACTCCAAAGTACCTGATCATCTGTTATTGGAATAGCAACAAAGTAATTTGGAGCCTCTTGTGGATGTTTCTTAGACACTTCTCGTCCTTGGTCTTCCTTCTGGTCTTCCACTATCCCCTTGGGCCGTTCTTGAATATCACCTTGCTCCTGCCTCATCTCTGTAGTTCTTTGGCCTTCCTTTTGTGGGGGCAGATCTGCTTTTAGCTGTTCCTGCTCTTGGCTCTGGTCCTGCAGCTGCTCCTCTGTCATCATCCCATCCAGATCTGCTTTGTCTCCAGCCTGCATCTCCTGCGGCTCCACCACTTCTGCTCTTTCCTCTTGGTTCTGGTCCTGCTGGGTTTTTGCCACTTCTTGATCTTCCTTTTGTCTCAGGACCCCCTGCTCCAGCAGCTCCACTACAGCTAGCTCTCTCTGACCTTCAGATCTTGTCATTGGCTCTCCCTGATTTTGTTTTGAGGTCCACCGTTCTTCATTACCTAGGGCTTCCTCACCTTGGTCCTGGAGGCAGGTTACCCCTTCTGAGTCACAGACCAACTGCAGCTGCACTGTGACTTTGATGCCAGAAGTACCTTGTCCTTGCTTCTGGGGCTGTACCTGTACAGTTACTTGTGGGCGAGATGGCCCTTGGCCCTGCTGCTGTAACTGCACCTGCACAGTCATTGATGGGGCCTCCCATCTTGGGCTTGGCTTCTGAGGCTGCACCTGCACAGTCACCTCTGGGCACTCCCATCCCCAGCTCATCTTCTGGGATTGCACCTTCACGGTGACTTCTGGGGCTTCCCACCCCTGGTCTGTTTGTTGTGGTCCCATGTCTGAGGCCATGCCTCCTTGCGCTGTCTGTCTCTGTGGCAGCACATGGATATTTTTCTCTCCCTGGGGCTGCTGAGCAGGGGACAGCGTCTGTGCTGCTGAGAGATGGCCTCTTCCTTGCTCCAGCTGTCCTGGTGAGCAGAGTTGCTGAGCTCTCTCTGGGCTTTCATCCACCTGAACCTGCTCCTGGACCATCTCTTGATGCCGACTCCTACACAACTCCCATTTTATCGCCTTCATCTTATAACTCCAAAACTTTCTTCTCCCAGGCTGGGGTTTCTCCAAGATCCTCCTGCCCTTTCTCTGGGGCTTGAAGCACTTATTTAAAGGAACTGGAAGCGGGGAAAAAAAAAACAACAAGTCCAACAGCTATCAAAAAATATTTCTTACAATAGTTCAGTCTGGGTTCACCTCTGAAGTTGGACTCACTACAGGGAGCTCCAAGCAGGTCAAACAGCTCAAATTAAAAACCTCTGGAGAGCCCACCTGAAGACTGAACCACTGCTTCTAGTCACTGTACTGTGGTCTTGACTTCTGCTTTTACCCTGATTATGTCTCCCATACTTTAAAGCATGAGCATACCATTTCACAGTATGCAGCAGTAGAGAAACATAGGCCTAATCAAGGGACTGCAGGTGTGTTGCCTAGTGGTAGTTACAAAGATTCAGATGTAGAGAATAACCTTAGCCAAAAAGACTCAGAAGCTGAATACATCCAGAAAAAAAATCACAAAGGAAGCTCTGGTCTCCTGTAACTGCAACATATTGCCATCTAATCAGACCAGCACACACTACTTTTTTTTTTTCCCTCCCCATGTATGCATTACAGTTTTTTCTACAGTAAGTTGCTGACACATCCTCATTTTTCTTAACATCTCCCATTCACTCCATCTCATTTCCTTCTCTTCTGAAGTAAAGTTGCAGAGAATGTATTTTGCTCATCTATACTGTTTGGATAAATCAGTGAAGGCACTGAAAGAACAAAGGGATACTTTTTTCCCCTACTTGTTTCAGAGGCAAATTCCACAGAAGCCCAGAGAACCAAGAACATTTCTTCATCAGCCACTGTAGCTCAACTGAGCTGAAAAGAAATGCCACTTTTTGATGAAGACATCTAAGCAAATAAATTCTACAGACTAAACAGGATTGAGCCGCATGAGAAAAATGCTTCAAACCCCAAACTATAACCTGCCTTGACTTCAGGTCCTTCCAAGTCATGGCAGCACTGTGGTTTTTTCCACTGAAGCTATAAATAAGTAGGCAGATATATTTTTCATAAATCTGCTCTCCAAGACAACCAAAATGTTTGTTCAAATTTTGCAGGAAAACTAGATCCCTTCCCACCCCCACAAAACCCACAACCATGAAAAAAAAGTCAAAATTAAATAGAAAAAGCCCAAAAAATTCACACACAACCTACATATTTTAATGTTGGGCAATCCAATAGATGTAGTACAGCTATCTCCTCATTAAAAAAAAAAAAACACAAAACCAACTTATTTTTGCAGTGGGCTAAAGATGAAAACCTTAAACTTACTCTGAATTTCATAAAAAGATTATTATACATTCTTTCTAGAATCCAGATGTAGGGGTGTTGTTCCATAGATTAGACTAGTTTTAAAAAGGATGTTTTAATACCTGCATATATTTCACACACAATTTCACTAGACATATCTACATTTCTTGTATTCTATTATACTTGAAGAATTTTGTTGACTGTACGTCAAATGTAAAGCCTTAAAGAGACTAACAAAGATTTTTAAAATGGAAGAGGCCAAATGCCTATGGAAATAGATTGATCCTACCTCTCTAGAGATTAAGCACTGTGGTCATAGACTAATTATAAAATCAGCTATTATCCATGATATTTGTGCCTGGGCTCCAACAGAAGATTTTGTCCTTCTGGAAGAGTGTTTAATCAGTGATATGATGAGTCCCTGATCAGCTAGTAGATGATCCTTAATGAAGGGCACTATCTAATGCAGTACGTCATCCTGAAACAGCATGAAACTTACTTTCAAATATCTCTCTGACATCAGCTTTGACAAAAAGAAACTCTGCCACTGCTTTCATGTCTTCACTGTCCAAGTGAGGAACTGGAAGAAAAGAACAGTATTGAAGTCTCCCAGAGAACCCCTTTCAACATACAACTGCTGTAGAACACTTTTGCATTTCGGTACTTGTAATGGGATAGCAGCTGCTGAGACACCATTACACTCCACAGTCAAGGTACTTGAGAAAGCAAACCCCTTTTTCTCTTTCAGAAGCTGTCATGTAAATTAAGCCTCAAGGCTGTGCAAAGCCTTGGTAAGTAGCTATTACAATAGTTCAGAGAATGCAGCATCTAAGTCAGCTCTAAACAAGTATTTAGATACTCGAAGATGAATCAGAAAGAGATTCATGCATGTAGAGTGACAAGATTCATGCCACTAAAACTTCATAAACCCCATTGAAGTGTCTTATTAGCAACGTGCAGCTGAGGCATAACAAGCTGAAACAAACTCTCTCTTGCACTCAGCCTGAGCTGCTCCGCTATGAAAATTCATTAAAACAGGTAACAGCTTGCAACAAGATGCCATGATAGTGGACATTTGTTGGTGGTTTTGTTGGTCTTTTTTTTTCACCCCTGAACTAACACTTAAAATCATGTCATTTCTCTTGCATTTGTGCCTGCACAGTAGCCTTTAGTGGGGATTTCACAGGCTATCATCAATGTAACAAAGAGAAGTGCAGCAACTCATGTTGAATATAGAAGAACCGCATAGAAAGAAGCTTCAGTGCCCTTTACAAGGTAACAGATAATTTTTATGGTTTTCAATGCATAACATCAAGGTAGTCTCAACAATATTACAGTTCATTGCCTACATTATTTCACTCTTAAACCTGTATTGCTTCATATGTGCACATTTACCACAAAATTTTTAGTTGATAATCTCACCACTTAAAAAGGATTAGAGGTGTAACTGTTACCCAGCCATCCCTACGCTATTTGCAAGTCCTTACATCCATTGTGTGACTGTCATCAAGTCAATAATTATGGGCTCAGGTTTCTTCTGCCTGAACTCCTCAGAGGCTGATAGAGTGGTAGCAGCTTAGTCCTTTGAACATTTCAGCACCTGTGTAAAATAAAAAGTGGCTGGACATCCTGAGTGCTAGCAGCATCTCAGAGGACCCCAAGTTTTCTCCAAGTCTCCCCTCCAACTGTTATTCTGACCCCTGCCAAGCCATTTAGTCCAGGTGACACCACCCAATACTTGTCAACCAGCAACAAGCTCCAGTGTAAGGTAAGCAGCCAAGAGCTGAAGACTGCAGTCTATACAAATAAGAAAGGTTCCTGCCCCATGGCACTTAAAGAGCCCTGAAATACACCCTGAGGAGGTCCTGCAAGAAGCTGGAAGGCCACTCACCTGCATCCCAAACATTTAAACTATGAAGAAAGCTCTTTCTTCAAATAAGTTGTTTAATCCATTTTCAGTCTTTTGACAGACAGAACTCATGCAGACACTTGTATCCCAGCCAGCAGCTCTGAAACAACACAGCTCTAAAGCATAAGCTCTAAAGGCAAGCTCCCCTCACCTTCAGTCCCATGCCAAAGTTTGGAAACCAATACTAACTGTGCCTAATTAGCATCAGCCTTGATCGAAAGGGTCTAGAAGCATCTCGAAGGAAAGCTGACCTGCCTCATGCAGATGTAGGCAGCATTTAGCCAAAGACCTCAGTCTTTCTGATACTTCTCACTTCCTCAGTCTCAGAAGAATGAAATTACCAATGTGAATGGCAATACAAAATTCGACTCTGTTGCTGTAA